ATCATTTTATAATCCCTTTTAATGATAAAGTTAAATACTAATACGTGTGGTTCAGTAAAAATTGTTTACAAAACATCATAATGACTAATGAATTAGTAATTAACTCAGTAAAAAGTTCCCTATCTTCTTTTAAGAAACCTTGACTTTTAACGACAATCCTTTCCAAATTTGATATTAGACAAGAATTATACTATATTTCTGTTATATCGCAAACTTAGATCTCTTAGTCTATCGCACAATACTGGAGCACTCGAACGTTAGAACCCTCCCAAGTCATAAATCAGAAGACAGAAGACAAGTAGAAGGAATGTTATTCCAAACAGTGTTGATTATGGTACAAAATTGTCAGGTATTTATAGTTTTTAATGGAAACGAAATCATCATTATAGTTATTCGATCGGCACACAGGGAGTTATCAGCATTGTCCAATAGGGAAGCTACACGTAGTGATTCTAGAATATTCTTCCCAAAGCTGATTGGATGGAATATGTCCGGCTCCTTCTGGGCTTCTTAGAGCTTCCTTGACTTCACCTGTAGACCATCCTCACAATTTCAAAGTAACTGATGTTGAAAATACGGACTACTGGATTCTGACTCAAAAGTTCAGCCAAACTGTGGTCTCTGAGAGTCATAATCATCTTGCGATTAAGTCAGTATGAATTAACAAATGGTCACTTTTGATTAAAACCACAATAAAAAGATAAATTTAATGTATCTCATTTTATCCGTTTTAAATTAATATAAACAAAAAATTAATGAACTACGGAATACTTTTTTCTAATCTCTATGATACATAAATTTGTCCACCAAATCAAAATCTTTGGAGTATGTATTTTAATTGTTGATATGTGAAAGTGTAATTTTAATTTTTCCACTTTCCTTATGAAAAGTTCACTACTAATTTTCAAGTATGTTAATTAGACTATCAGTGAATTTCGTAGTACAACTGCTCAAGTCAAAAAATGAACATCACTATATGTTATAAGTAGAATAATTGAAGAAAAGAAATGATGTTCATATCTCTATGTCAGTCATTCAGTCAGCTACAATGTAGGACCAGGCACATATATGCATCGGTCCAAGTTGCTATACCGCGTTAGCACAACACGATGAACACCGAATTCATAGAAGTAGTTAATTTAATGGTGGTAATATATAAAAGAAAGGTTGTATATGAGGATATAGTACTGGAAGAAAGACAGATATGAAGCAATTTTAATCTCAAGGTTTAAGGGAAGATAAAGAGTGTATGCACCTACGCCATTGTGATCGATTCTGAGCCATGTCACACACAGTCTCCAACCATTGGTTACGATAGTCACGCGGATCTCAACCAAGTAGTATGCACCTACCAACATGGCTTAGACTAGAAGTTAGTGACTTCATGCTCTGATGCCACGTTTTAGTTTGGCGGCCCCTAACTCTCTTCCAACCATCGCTAATACTAGTCAGCATAGAGCATCGTGGTGGTCGGTGTTCAGACATACGTAACACGTGACCCAACCATCTCAGTCGATCAAGATTCATGACCTCATATATCTCCATGTGAAAAAAAATGTTTCAAAATTAAGGGATTTCACTAGTATACATATTTTCTAAATCTCTTTTAGAAAACTGTCCCATGGTAACAAAAAAATATCTTCGACAAAACTTCTCACTTTTAATTAAATAGTACAGAAGTTACATTGTTAATATATTCAGTTTTATCAACTACCAATTAAAATCTCTAAATGTGTTTATTTTACTAATGTCATCAACTGAAACGTGTTAATTATAGAGTAAAATATATGACATTGATTCAAACATTTTAATCGGTGTATTACGAGGAGTGAAGTTATACCATCTGGAAAGAATATTTAACCCAATCCCTGATCTGAACGACATTCTATTGATATATTTTATTTATAAATTATATAATAAAGCAAACAAGAAGAAACCCTTTTAATGAGTGTAGTATAGTCAGTCAGTAATTAATATATCTGATAATGACTGATATGTATTATAAGTTGACTTGAGTTTCGTCATATTAATCACTGAATTCTAAATCAGTAGTTTGGAGGCATCATATTCATCAAGTATTCTGAAGATTTTTTAGGTTTTATCTTCTGTAATGTGTGGTTCTGAAGATCCTCAAACTAGAATCCAACGATTGATCAGTAACCTCTTATTTTCAACTATTCTTCAGTCAACGTTATTACAAAACTAAATTTATCAGATTATTAGTGTTTTCTCACTAGTTTTAAACGTACTAAATCAACAATGATGATGATAACGATTATTATTATTATTATTATTATTATTATTATTATTATTATTATCTCCACTATTGCTATTGCTGTTTTCACTATTATTATTATTATTATTATTATTATTATTATTATTATTATAGAATAGACGATTATGATGATTCGTATTTTACAGGCCAAAAGTTTTTCGCGTGTGAGACCGAAGGTCCTGGATTCAGGGTCTATATGCGGGATCATGAATGCGCACTGCTGAGGAGCCTCACACTAGGACGAAACGACCATCCAGTAATTTCAAGTTTTCAATGGTGGTCGAGCTTCAATTGACTCATGAATTCAATTTCACCGATACAAAAACACATGTAATAATTAACAATTATAAGAATCATTATTGGAAACTAATAAGAATATTTAAATTTCGTCACTTTATATTAGATAATATGGTGGACATTTTGATCAAATGTCTGAAATAGTCCTAGTAGCAAATGGTTTAGATGAAATCCAAATATATGATGATTGACATCTAACTTGTAGGTACTTTTTGTATTTAAAGGGAGGTGCTTAGCAAAATGTATGAGGAAATCTAGAAAAGTAAAGAACATGATGAAAATTGAACTGATTACTCTACGAGCACATTAGGATGTAGGTACATTTTATTAGTGAAAACAATCTAATTCTTAACCTACCAACTCTTAGAAAGCAACAACTATTGATTACATTATTGATATCTTCAACGAATTCATGAACCGAATCAAGACGATAACCTAACTGAATCTAGAAAGATCACTATCAAACAATAACAAAATTAAGATATATTTAGAAAAGGATGCTATACTCAATAAAAATTTCCCGAGAGTTATTCATTTAGGATATCCATTACTGAACAAATCTCTAAAGACTTGATACAAATAAACATTATACAGTTCGATTTGTCTATTTCATTCAAATGAGATTTTCTTCATAATGAATGATAGGCAACCACTTTTTCAAATAGTTCACTGAAGATAAACCGACTTATTTACGTAGTTCATTATAATCAATTATTGAAGAACACAATTATACATCTCTTAAATAGAACTTGGTTGACAAGTGGAGTTAAACTTCTTTTTAGAGTGCTATTAAATGTTGTCCTCTATGCCAAGAAATGATGATTTCACAGTATTAAAATTTGTCTAAGAGTCAGGAATATGACTAATTGAAAGCGAATTAAATGATTTGAATGTCAGGCACATGTTGCGAGATCTGACAATCTTGGGTTCTAGTCCTGATTGAACCATGAGGATACCTTACTAAGGAGTAGCATACATAATTATCCAGTGCTTTCTGGCTTTCAATGATTGTCTGACTGAAATCAGTCCATAATGGAAACTACATAGATCTAGATTTACTTTCTACATAAGGACCTATTTAAATAAGGATACATTTTGTGTTACTAGGTTAAAAAAAAGAATGACTTAAAATCCTCTTCCAAATGGTTACTTCAGGCATTCTTCCATTTTAACCTAAATTATCCACTATGCTATATACACTAATAAGTCAATGCGATAAACGTGAAAATATGATTACTATAGGGTAATTATTTAGCTAAGCTTAATGGGATTGGATTAATTCATTACTGTTTCTGTCTATCAATCTATGCCTGTCAGTCTCTCATTATGGTTATTTTATTCTACCTAAATTTTACCAATTCCATTGATTCTTTTATAAACTGAAATAATATAGGCTAAGGAAGTTGGTCACTTATCATTATGTCCACGTTGTTTAAGTAAGAATTTTTGTCCAATACCAATAAAATTGAGCACAAATAGGTGATAAACTACTACACATGTAATTAAAAGTATACAAGCAAATTAAGTTAAATTCACTTACAAGCTGATAGGTTACTCTGTTTTAAGAAAATAAAAAAAAAAAAAGTTGGATTGTTTTTCACCATTCAAAACAACACAAACAAAATATCATATACACACTATAACGAAAGGGGTTTCTGTTTTGCTTTACAAACTTGAGAGGTTAATATTTATCAACACCTACGTAATATTATTCCAAGAAAAAAAAGAAAACAAATCAACAACCATCTAATTCTTATAATATTCAATTTTAACATTTATATTATTATTATTATTATTCAATTCTACTGTGAAGGTTTCAGACGCTTGATGCATGTCTCCATACAGTAATGAAAAGTTTCAGTCAGAAACAAATATAAGGCAATTTGTGTAATACAATAATAATTATCAACAAATAATTGTGTAAGGCAGCAAGCACACTTTCGAATTTTTCAACGCCTTATTTTTTTCTTTTTTTTCAATTTTTTTTTTGTGTGTTTTCTATACATCGATATTTGTATTCAACATATTAGTGGAATCATTATTGTTTCTTAATTGACAACTATATCAAATGTATACCAATGATCAATACAAATAAATGAGACTATTGAACAAACAATCATAGATCATTTTCTACTCATATATATATATATTCAGTTGCTATATCAACTAAATCTTGTGTGAAAGGATTTATTATATAATATGAAAGTTGATTTCCACTATATGTTATTTATCATGTACAAAGTTTAAAATTGAACTACTATGGAGACATATTCCTTCACTGAATTTCATATCCGCTGAATACTACAGCGGGAATTTATCGCCAATGTTATCTATATATATATGAACATTCTATTGAATCTATGACGAAATCACTTTAAAAAAGTGTAACATTATTATTATTAAGATTGGAAAATATTTCTATTTTACTATGTCTACTGAAATGAATCCAGTTGATATTGAACAATCTCATCAAACTGATGAATCAATTAAAGTAGATTTAATGAAAATTGATGATAATTTAAAATCAACTATTACATGTAAATTATATGATACATTAACAGATCCAGAATGTAAAAAATCTAAATTATCCGATGTTTGGGAAACAAGTAATACACCTCCATTAGAATATCAAGAATATGATTCGTTGAAAGTCAAGAAAGATCTATGTAAAGATGATACTATCAATGTAGATGTTGTTGTTGATGACGATGATCATTTGAAGAAACTTTATGATACCGAAAAACTTGGACTATGTTATCGACATACAGATGATTATGAAATATATCATTCTAGTATTGAAAAAGATATTTGTACAGAATTAGATAATCCTATGTACATACCAATTAAATTACCATTAAGTAGTAATTTATACGTTCCAGTATATTATGTACAGTCAAGTGAAGAATCTTCACCTAAATTCAATAAACATAATATGGATTTTAATGACTCTAAAAATATCCATAAGGATTCTAATCATAATCATCATATCAAATCAATGGTAAGTCATAAATATTTATTAAATTCTCATGATAACCTAAGTAAACAAAATGAATCTCAACGGCTAGCTAGTGATTATCATATCAATATCAATAATCAAGGATATGAAAATTGTATATCAAAATATGATAGAACTAAACCAGAACCTAATCCTTACGACTTAGAAATATGTAATGTACAAAACGAATTAAATGAACCATTAATGAATACAAAACAGTCAGGAAAATATAAATCAAAAACGAATAAAGGGTTATTAAAACAAAAACTACAATTTATGAAACCTAAAATAAAAATGAACATGAATAGTACAGAAAATGAAATTGTTCTACCAGAAAATCAAAGAAAAATTACTGATGAAAGTAGTAGAATGGAAAAAAGACGAAAAGTAGGTTGTTCACCAAAACTTAAATTTAAAAAACATGAACATCAAAATATAAATGACTTAGAAGTTATGCAACAAAATGACAAACCTGTTGAAGCAGTTATCAGCGGAAAACAATACAAACTCCCTCATGTAAATTCAAACAATAAAATCATTGAAAATGTAGCAATAGAAACACAGAGAATCGAAAGCAAACAGCTGACAAGAAAAACTAAAATGAACAATATAAAGAAGAATGAAGTGAAAGAGAAAAAACTAAAGACCTCCAAAGGTGTACAAAAAGAAAAAAGCCGAAAACCAGAAGATAAAATAATGAAAGAAAAGAGGATTGAAGACGTAAAACAGAAGAAAGATGATGAAAAGGTAAAAAAGAAAAACGCGAAAAGAATGGTAAACCCATGCATAAAACTACAAAGAACAAATGTAAATAAGATAAAAAAGGTTGAAAACAAAGACGACAATCAAATTACAGCAGAAATGAATGTAGAACAAGGATTAACGAAAACCCCAGAGACACAAGAAAATGAGAAAGCACAACCGAAGAAATTCAATTGGTCTCCGAATATCACGTTGCCAAAGTTGAAAGTGCATGGACCAGATGTGTCTGGAAAACTTCATGCAGATGCACCTGATGTGAATGTGAATGTGACTGGTCCATCTGTGAAGGTGCCATCTGTGAAAGCCAGTGGTCATTTGCCTACTGTCGATGTGTCTGTTCCCGATGCATCGTTGGGAGGTGATCTATCCGGTAAGCTCGATTTGGAGGGTGTCGGTGTGGGAGTTGTGGACGCCGATTTGAATCTGCCAGACCTACAGATCTCAGGAAATGTGAGTGCACCGTCTATCGAAGGAGACCTTTCCATGCCCGATGTGTCCGCCAATCTGGACACAGACGTGAAACTGCCCAGTGTGCAACTGACTGGTCCAGATCTTCGTGTACATGGTGAGATGCCGGATGTGGATGTGGGTGCTAAGGTGGATGTGCCGAAACCACATATTTCAATCAAGGCACCGAAATTCGGGTTCGGTCTGGGCAAGAAGAAGACGAAAGTGAAGACTCCAAAGGCTGATGTGAAAGTGGAGGGTGGAGCAGGTGGGGAGATAGATTTGGATGCCGGTTTGGACGCTCACTTAGATGGTAAAACAAGAAAGGGAGGTAAGAAGTTCCATTGGTCTCCTAAGTTCGGGTTGCCGAAGGGTGGTCTGAAGATTGGTGGAGGTGCTGGTGTTGGAGTGCCGGACACCTCGGTGTCTGTCTCAGGTCCGACTGGTGGTGTGGATGTGTCTCTTCCGAAACCCGAACTCGATGTCTCCATGGAGGTTCCCGATGTTGATGTGTCCGCCTCTGGGCCCGAAATCGGTGTATCAGGTGGTGCGATTAGAGGTGGGGAGTTGGGACTGACTGGGAAGGTTTCTTCACCCGATGTAGATGTCAGTGTTCCATCAAAGAAGAAGTTCACCTTCGGTTGGGGCTCGAAAGGCAAGAAGGCGAAGAAGGTGAAGTTGCCCACAGTGTCGGGAGACGTGGATGCTGGTTTGGATGTGGGTGGAAAGGTTGATGTTCCCAGTGTGAAGGTCGATGTGGACTCAGGTGATCGAGTCAAAGGTAAGAAGTTCCACTGGTCTCCGAATATCACGTTGCCAAAGTTGAAAGTGCATGGACCAGATGTGTCTGGAAAACTTCATGCAGATGCACCTGATGTGAATGTGAATGTGACTGGTCCATCTGTGAAGGTGCCATCTGTGAAAGCCAGTGGTCATTTGCCTACTGTCGATGTGTCTGTTCCCGATGCATCGTTGGGAGGTGATCTATCCGGTAAGCTCGATTTGGAGGGTGTCGGTGTGGGAGTTGTGGACGCCGATTTGAATCTGCCAGACCTACAGATCTCAGGAAATGTGAGTGCACCGTCTATCGAAGGAGACCTTTCCATGCCCGATGTGTCCGCCAATCTGGACACAGACGTGAAACTGCCCAGTGTGCAACTGACTGGTCCAGATCTTCGTGTACATGGTGAGATGCCGGATGTGGATGTGGGTGCTAAGGTGGATGTGCCGAAACCACATATTTCAATCAAGGCACCGAAATTCGGGTTCGGTCTGGGCAAGAAGAAGACGAAAGTGAAGACTCCAAAGGCTGATGTGAAAGTGGAGGGTGGAGCAGGTGGGGAGATAGATTTGGATGCCGGTTTGGACGCTCACTTAGATGGTAAAACAAGAAAGGGAGGTAAGAAGTTCCATTGGTCTCCTAAGTTCGGGTTGCCGAAGGGTGGTCTGAAGATTGGTGGAGGTGCTGGTGTTGGAGTGCCGGACACCTCGGTGTCTGTCTCAGGTCCGACTGGTGGTGTGGATGTGTCTCTTCCGAAACCCGAACTCGATGTCTCCATGGAGGTTCCCGATGTTGATGTGTCCGCCTCTGGGCCCGAAATCGGTGTATCAGGTGGTGCGATTAGAGGTGGGGAGTTGGGACTGACTGGGAAGGTTTCTTCACCCGATGTAGATGTCAGTGTTCCATCAAAGAAGAAGTTCACCTTCGGTTGGGGCTCGAAAGGCAAGAAGGCGAAGAAGGTGAAGTTGCCCACAGTGTCGGGAGACGTGGATGCTGGTTTGGATGTGGGTGGAAAGGTTGATGTTCCCAGTGTGAAGGTCGATGTGGACTCAGGTGATCGAGTCAAAGGTAAGAAGTTCCACTGGTCTCCGAATATCACGTTGCCAAAGTTGAAAGTGCATGGACCAGATGTGTCTGGAAAACTTCATGCAGATGCACCTGATGTGAATGTGAATGTGACTGGTCCATCTGTGAAGGTGCCATCTGTGAAAGCCAGTGGTCATTTGCCTACTGTCGATGTGTCTGTTCCCGATGCATCGTTGGGAGGTGATCTATCCGGTAAGCTCGATTTGGAGGGTGTCGGTGTGGGAGTTGTGGACGCCGATTTGAATCTGCCAGACCTACAGATCTCAGGAAATGTGAGTGCACCGTCTATCGAAGGAGACCTTTCCATGCCCGATGTGTCCGCCAATCTGGACACAGACGTGAAACTGCCCAGTGTGCAACTGACTGGTCCAGATCTTCGTGTACATGGTGAGATGCCGGATGTGGATGTGGGTGCTAAGGTGGATGTGCCGAAACCACATATTTCAATCAAGGCACCGAAATTCGGGTTCGGTCTGGGCAAGAAGAAGACGAAAGTGAAGACTCCAAAGGCTGATGTGAAAGTGGAGGGTGGAGCAGGTGGGGAGATAGATTTGGATGCCGGTTTGGACGCTCACTTAGATGGTAAAACAAGAAAGGGAGGTAAGAAGTTCCATTGGTCTCCTAAGTTCGGGTTGCCGAAGGGTGGTCTGAAGATTGGTGGAGGTGCTGGTGTTGGAGTGCCGGACACCTCGGTGTCTGTCTCAGGTCCGACTGGTGGTGTGGATGTGTCTCTTCCGAAACCCGAACTCGATGTCTCCATGGAGGTTCCCGATGTTGATGTGTCCGCCTCTGGGCCCGAAATCGGTGTATCAGGTGGTGCGATTAGAGGTGGGGAGTTGGGACTGACTGGGAAGGTTTCTTCACCCGATGTAGATGTCAGTGTTCCATCAAAGAAGAAGTTCACCTTCGGTTGGGGCTCGAAAGGCAAGAAGGCGAAGAAGGTGAAGTTGCCCACAGTGTCGGGAGACGTGGATGCTGGTTTGGATGTGGGTGGAAAGGTTGATGTTCCCAGTGTGAAGGTCGATGTGGACTCAGGTGATCGAGTCAAAGGTAAGAAGTTCCACTGGTCTCCGAATATCACGTTGCCAAAGTTGAAAGTGCATGGACCAGATGTGTCTGGAAAACTTCATGCAGATGCACCTGATGTGAATGTGAATGTGACTGGTCCATCTGTGAAGGTGCCATCTGTGAAAGCCAGTGGTCATTTGCCTACTGTCGATGTGTCTGTTCCCGATGCATCGTTGGGAGGTGATCTATCCGGTAAGCTCGATTTGGAGGGTGTCGGTGTGGGAGTTGTGGACGCCGATTTGAATCTGCCAGACCTACAGATCTCAGGAAATGTGAGTGCACCGTCTATCGAAGGAGACCTTTCCATGCCCGATGTGTCCGCCAATCTGGACACAGACGTGAAACTGCCCAGTGTGCAACTGACTGGTCCAGATCTTCGTGTACATGGTGAGATGCCGGATGTGGATGTGGGTGCTAAGGTGGATGTGCCGAAACCACATATTTCAATCAAGGCACCGAAATTCGGGTTCGGTCTGGGCAAGAAGAAGACGAAAGCGAAGACTCCAAAGGCTGATGTGAAAGTGGAGGGTGGAGCAGGTGGGGAGATAGATTTGGATGCCGGTTTGGACGCTCACTTAGATGGTAAAACAAGAAAGGGAGGTAAGAAGTTCCATTGGTCTCCTAAGTTCGGGTTGCCGAAGGGTGGTCTGAAGATTGGTGGAGGTGCTGGTGTTGGAGTGCCGGACACCTCGGTGTCTGTCTCAGGTCCGACTGGTGGTGTGGATGTGTCTCTTCCGAAACCCGAACTCGATGTCTCCATGGAGGTTCCCGATGTTGATGTGTCCGCCTCTGGGCCCGAAATCGGTGTATCAGGTGGTGCGATTAGAGGTGGGGAGTTGGGACTGACTGGGAAGGTTTCTTCACCCGATGTAGATGTCAGTGTTCCATCAAAGAAGAAGTTCACCTTCGGTTGGGGCTCGAAAGGCAAGAAGGCGAAGAAGGTGAAGTTGCCCACAGTGTCGGGAGACGTGGATGCTGGTTTGGATGTGGGTGGAAAGGTTGATGTTCCCAGTGTGAAGGTCGATGTGGACTCAGGTGATCGAGTCAAAGGTAAGAAGTTCCACTGGTCTCCGAATATCACGTTGCCAAAGTTGAAAGTGCATGGACCAGATGTGTCTGGAAAACTTCATGCAGATGCACCTGATGTGAATGTGAATGTGACTGGTCCATCTGTGAAGGTGCCATCTGTGAAAGCCAGTGGTCATTTGCCTACTGTCGATGTGTCTGTTCCCGATGCATCGTTGGGAGGTGATCTATCCGGTAAGCTCGATTTGGAGGGTGTCGGTGTGGGAGTTGTGGACGCCGATTTGAATCTGCCAGACCTACAGATCTCAGGAAATGTGAGTGCACCGTCTATCGAAGGAGACCTTTCCATGCCCGATGTGTCCGCCAATCTGGACACAGACGTGAAACTGCCCAGTGTGCAACTGACTGGTCCAGATCTTCGTGTACATGGTGAGATGCCGGATGTGGATGTGGGTGCTAAGGTGGATGTGCCGAAACCACATATTTCAATCAAGGCACCGAAATTCGGGTTCGGTCTGGGCAAGAAGAAGACGAAAGCGAAGACTCCAAAGGCTGATGTGAAAGTGGAGGGTGGAGCAGGTGGGGAGATAGATTTGGATGCCGGTTTGGACGCTCACTTAGATGGTAAAACAAGAAAGGGAGGTAAGAAGTTCCATTGGTCTCCTAAGTTCGGGTTGCCGAAGGGTGGTCTGAAGATTGGTGGAGGTGCTGGTGTTGGAGTGCCGGACACCTCGGTGTCTGTCTCAGGTCCGACTGGTGGTGTGGATGTGTCTCTTCCGAAACCCGAACTCGATGTCTCCATGGAGGTTCCCGATGTTGATGTGTCCGCCTCTGGGCCCGAAATCGGTGTATCAGGTGGTGCGATTAGAGGTGGGGAGTTGGGACTGACTGGGAAGGTTTCTTCACCCGATGTAGATGTCAGTGTTCCATCAAAGAAGAAGTTCACCTTCGGTTGGGGCTCGAAAGGCAAGAAGGCGAAGAAGGTGAAGTTGCCCACAGTGTCGGGAGACGTGGATGCTGGTTTGGATGTGGGTGGAAAGGTTGATGTTCCCAGTGTGAAGGTCGATGTGGACTCAGGTGATCGAGTCAAAGGTAAGAAGTTCCACTGGTCTCCGAATATCACGTTGCCAAAGTTGAAAGTGCATGGACCAGATGTGTCTGGAAAACTTCATGCAGATGCACCTGATGTGAATGTGAATGTGACTGGTCCATCTGTGAAGGTGCCATCTGTGAAAGCCAGTGGTCATTTGCCTACTGTCGATGTGTCTGTTCCCGATGCATCGTTGGGAGGTGATCTATCCGGTAAGCTCGATTTGGAGGGTGTCGGTGTGGGAGTTGTGGACGCCGATTTGAATCTGCCAGACCTACAGATCTCAGGAAATGTGAGTGCACCGTCTATCGAAGGAGACCTTTCCATGCCCGATGTGTCCGCCAATCTGGACACAGACGTGAAACTGCCCAGTGTGCAACTGACTGGTCCAGATCTTCGTGTACATGGTGAGATGCCGGATGTGGATGTGGGTGCTAAGGTGGATGTGCCGAAACCACATATTTCAATCAAGGCACCGAAATTCGGGTTCGGTCTGGGCAAGAAGAAGACGAAAGCTGAAGACTCCAAAGGCTGATGTGAAAGTGGAGGGTGGAGCAGGTGGGGAGATAGATTTGGATGCCGGTTTGGACGCTCACTTAGATGGTAAAACAAGAAAGGGAGGTAAGAAGTTCCATTGGTCTCCTAAGTTCGGGTTGCCGAAGGGTGGTCTGAAGATTGGTGGAGGTGCTGGTGTTGGAGTGCCGGACACCTCGGTGTCTGTCTCAGGTCCGACTGGTGGTGTGGATGTGTCTCTTCCGAAACCCGAACTCGATGTCTCCATGGAGGTTCCCGATGTTGATGTGTCCGCCTCTGGGCCCGAAATCGGTGTATCAGGTGGTGCGATTAGAGGTGGGGAGTTGGGACTGACTGGGAAGGTTTCTTCACCCGATGTAGATGTCAGTGTTCCATCAAAGAAGAAGTTCACCTTCGGTTGGGGCTCGAAAGGCAAGAAGGCGAAGAAGGTGAAGTTGCCCACAGTGTCGGGAGACGTGGATGCTGGTTTGGATGTGGGTGGAAAGGTTGATGTTCCCAGTGTGAAGGTCGATGTGGACTCAGGTGATCGAGTCAAAGGTAAGAAGTTCCACTGGTCTCCGAATATCACGTTGCCAAAGTTGAAAGTGCATGGACCAGATGTGTCTGGAAAACTTCATGCAGATGCACCTGATGTGAATGTGAATGTGACTGGTCCATCTGTGAAGGTGCCATCTGTGAAAGCCAGTGGTCATTTGCCTACTGTCGATGTGTCTGTTCCCGATGCATCGTTGGGAGGTGATCTATCCGGTAAGCTCGATTTGGAGGGTGTCGGTGTGGGAGTTGTGGACGCCGATTTGAATCTGCCAGACCTACAGATCTCAGGAAATGTGAGTGCACCGTCTATCGAAGGAGACCTTTCCATGCCCGATGTGTCCGCCAATCTGGACACAGACGTGAAACTGCCCAGTGTGCAACTGACTGGTCCAGATCTTCGTGTACATGGTGAGATGCCGGATGTGGATGTGGGTGCTAAGGTGGATGTGCCGAAACCACATATTTCAATCAAGGCACCGAAATTCGGGTTCGGTCTGGGCAAGAAGAAGACGAAAGTGAAGACTCCAAAGGCTGATGTGAAAGTGGAGGGTGGAGCAGGTGGGGAGATAGATTTGGATGCCGGTTTGGACGCTCACTTAGATGGTAAAACAAGAAAGGGAGGTAAGAAGTTCCATTGGTCTCCTAAGTTCGGGTTGCCGAAGGGTGGTCTGAAGATTGGTGGAGGTGCTGGTGTTGGAGTGCCGGACACCTCGGTGTCTGTCTCAGGTCCGACTGGTGGTGTGGATGTGTCTCTTCCGAAACCCGAACTCGATGTCTCCATGGAGGTTCCCGATGTTGATGTGTCCGCCTCTGGGCCCGAAATCGGTGTATCAGGTGGTGCGATTAGAGGTGGGGAGTTGGGACTGACTGGGAAGGTTTCTTCACCCGATGTAGATGTCAGTGTTCCATCAAAGAAGAAGTTCACCTTCGGTTGGGGCTCGAAAGGCAAGAAGGCGAAGAAGGTGAAGTTGCCCACAGTGTCGGGAGACGTGGATGCTGGTTTGGATGTGGGTGGAAAGGTTGATGTTCCCAGTGTGAAGGTCGATGTGGACTCAGGTGATCGAGTCAAAGGTAAGAAGTTCCACTGGTCTCCGAATATCACGTTGCCAAAGTTGAAAGTGCATGGACCAGATGTGTCTGGAAAACTTCATGCAGATGCACCTGATGTGAATGTGAATGTGACTGGTCCATCTGTGAAGGTGCCATCTGTGAAAGCCAGTGGTCATTTGCCTACTGTCGATGTGTCTGTTCCCGATGCATCGTTGGGAGGTGATCTATCCGGTAAGCTCGATTTGGAGGGTGTCGGTGTGGGAGTTGTGGACGCCGATTTGAATCTGCCAGACCTACAGATCTCAGGAAATGTGAGTGCACCGTCTATCGAAGGAGACCTTTCCATGCCCGATGTGTCCGCCAATCTGGACACAGACGTGAAACTGCCCAGTGTGCAACTGACTGGTCCAGATCTTCGTGTACATGGTGAGATGCCGGATGTGGATGTGGGTGCTAAGGTGGATGTGCCGAAACCACATATTTCAATCAAGGCACCGAAATTCGGGTTCGGTCTGGGCAAGAAGAAGACGAAAGTGAAGACTCCAAAGGCTGATGTGAAAGTGGAGGGTGGAGCAGGTGGGGAGATAGATTTGGATGCCGGTTTGGACGCTCACTTAGATGGTAAAACAAGAAAGGGAGGTAAGAAGTTCCATTGGTCTCCTAAGTTCGGGTTGCCGAAGGGTGGTCTGAAGATTGGTGGAGGTGCTGGTGTTGGAGTGCCGGACACCTCGGTGTCTGTCTCAGGTCCGACTGGTGGTGTGGATGTGTCTCTTCCGAAACCCGAACTCGATGTCTCCATGGAGGTTCCCGATGTTGATGTGTCCGCCTCTGGGCCCGAAATCGGTGTATCAGGTGGTGCGATTAGAGGTGGGGAGTTGGGACTGACTGGGAAGGTTTCTTCACCCGATGTAGATGTCAGTGTTCCATCAAAGAAGAAGTTCACCTTCGGTTGGGGCTCGAAAGGCAAGAAGGCGAAGAAGGTGAAGTTGCCCACAGTGTCGGGAGACGTGGATGCTGGTTTGGATGTGGGTGGAAAGGTTGATGTTCCCAGTGTGAAGGTCGATGTGGACTCAGGTGATCGAGTCAAAGGTAAGAAGTTCCACTGGTCTCCGAATATCACGTTGCCAAAGTTGAAAGTGCATGGACCAGATGTGTCTGGAAAACTTCATGCAGATGCACCTGATGTGAATGTGAATGTGACTGGTCCATCTGTGAAGGTGCCATCTGTGAAAGCCAGTGGTCATTTGCCTACTGTCGATGTGTCTGTTCCCGATGCATCGTTGGGAGGTGATCTATCCGGTAAGCTCGATTTGGAGGGTGTCGGTGTGGGAGTTGTGGACGCCGATTTGAATCTGCCAGACCTACAGATCTCAGGAAATGTGAGTGCACCGTCTATCGAAGGAGACCTTTCCATGCCCGATGTGTCCGCCAATCTGGACACAGACGTGAAACTGCCCAGTGTGCAACTGACTGGTCCAGATCTTCGTGTACATGGTGAGATGCCGGATGTGGATGTGGGTGCTAAGGTGGATGTGCCGAAACCACATATTTCAATCAAGGCACCGAAATTCGGGTTCGGTCTGGGCAAGAAGAAGACGAAAGTGAAGACTCCAAAGGCTGATGTGAAAGTGGAGGGTGGAGCAGGTGGGGAGATAGATTTGGATGCCGGTTTGGACGCTCACTTAGATGGTAAAACAAGAAAGGGAGGTAAGAAGTTCCATTGGTCTCCTAAGTTCGGGTTGCCGAAGGGTGGTCTGAAGATTGGTGGAGGTGCTGGTGTTGGAGTGCCGGACACCTCGGTGTCTGTCTCAGGTCCGACTGGTGGTGTGGATGTGTCTCTTCCGAAACCCGAACTCGATGTCTCCATGGAGGTTCCCGATGTTGATGTGTCCGCCTCTGGGCCCGAAATCGGTGTATCAGGTGGTGCGATTAGAGGTGGGGAGTTGGGACTGACTGGGAAGGTTTCTTCACCCGATGTAGATGTCAGTGTTCCATCAAAGAAGAAGTTCACCTTCGGTTGGGGCTCGAAAGGCAAGAAGGCGAAGAAGGTGAAGTTGCCCACAGTGTCGGGAGACGTGGATGCTGGTTTGGATGTGGGTGGAAAGGTTGATGTTCCCAGTGTGAAGGTCGATGTGGACTCAGGTGATCGAGTCAAAGGTAAGAAGTTCCACTGGTCTCCGAATATCACGTTGCCAAAGTTGAAAGTGCATGGACCAGATGTGTCTGGAAAACTTCATGCAGATGCACCTGATGTGAATGTGAATGTGACTGGTCCATCTGTGAAGGTGCCATCTGTGAAAGCCAGTGGTCATTTGCCTACTGTCGATGTGTCTGTTCCCGATGCATCGTTGGGAGGTGATCTATCCGGTAAGCTCGATTTGGAGGGTGTCGGTGTGGGAGTTGTGGACGCCGATTTGAATCTGCCAGACCTACAGATCTCAGGAAATGTGAGTGCACCGTCTATCGAAGGAGACCTTTCCATGCCCGATGTGTCCGCCAATCTGGACACAGACGTGAAACTGCCCAGTGTGCAACTGACTGGTCCAGATCTTCGTGTACATGGTGAGATGCCGGATGTGGATGTGGGTGCTAAGGTGGATGTGCCGAAACCACATATTTCAATCAAGGCACCGAAATTCGGGTTCGGTCTGGGCAAGAAGAAGACGAAAGTGAAGACTCCAAAGGCTGATGTGAAAGTGGAGGGTGGAGCAGGTGGGGAGATAGATTTGGATGCCGGTTTGGACGCTCACTTAGATGGTAAAACAAGAAAGGGAGGTAAGAAGTTCCATTGGTCTCCTAAGTTCGGGTTGCCGAAGGGTGGTCTGAAGATTGGTGGAGGTGCTGGTGTTGGAGTGCCGGACACCTCGGTGTCTGTCTCAGGTCCGACTGGTGGTGTGGATGTGTCTCTTCCGAAACCCGAACTCGATGTCTCCATGGAGGTTCCCGATGTTGATGTGTCCGCCTCTGGGCCCGAAATCGGTGTATCAGGTGGTGCGATTAGAGGTGGGGAGTTGGGACTGACTGGGAAGGTTTCTTCACCCGATGTAGATGTCAGTGTTCCATCAAAGAAGAAGTTCACCTTCGGTTGGGGCTCGAAAGGCAAGAAGGCGAAGAAGGTGAAGTTGCCCACAGTGTCGGGAGACGTGGATGCTGGTTTGGATGTGGGTGGAAAGGTTGATGTTCCCAGTGTGAAGGTCGATGTGAACTCAGGTGATCGAGTCAAAGGTAAGAAGTTCCACTGGTCTCCGAATATCACGTTGCCAAAGTTGAAAGTGCATGGACCAGATGTGTCTGGAAAACTTCATGCAGATGCACCTGATGTGAATGTGAATGTGACTGGTCCATCTGTGAAGGTGCCATCTGTGAAAGCCAGTGGTCATTTGCCTACTGTCGATGTGTCTGTTCCCGATGCATCGTTGGGAGGTGATCTATCCGGTAAGCTCGATTTGGAGGGTGTCGGTGTGGGAGTTGTGGACGCCGATTTGAATCTGCCAGACCTACAGATCTCAGGAAATGTGAGTGCACCGTCTATCGAAGGAGACCTTTCCATGCCCGATGTGTCCGCCAATCTGGACACAGACGTGAAACTGCCCAGTGTGCAACTGACTGGTCCAGATCTTCGTGTACATGGTGAGATGCCGGATGTGGATGTGGGTGCTAAGGTGGATGTGCCGAAACCACATATTTCAATCAAGGCACCGAAATTCGGGTTCGGTCTGGGCAAGAAGAAGACGAAAGTGAAGACTCCAAAGGCTGATGTGAAAGTGGAGGGTGGAGCAGGTGGGGAGATAGATTTGGATGCCGGTTTGGACGCTCACTTAGATGGTAAAACAAGAAAGGGAGGTAAGAAGTTCCATTGGTCTCCTAAGTTCGGGTTGCCGAAGGGTGGTCTGAAGATTGGTGGAGGTGCTGGTGTTGGAGTGCCGGACACCTCGGTGTCTGTCTCAGGTCCGACTGGTGGTGTGGATGTGTCTCTTCCGAAACCCGAACTCGATGTCTCCATGGAGGTTCCCGATGTTGATGTGTCCGCCTCTGGGCCCGAAATCGGTGTATCAGGTGGTGCGATTAGAGGTGGGGAGTTGGGACTGACTGGGAAGGTTTCTTCACCCGATGTAGATGTCAGTGTTCCATCAAAGAAGAAGTTCACCTTCGGTTGGGGCTCGAAAGGCAAGAAGGCGAAGAAGGTGAAGTTGCCCACAGTGTCGGGAGACGTGGATGCTGGTTTGGATGTGGGTGGAAAGGTTGATGTTCCCAGTGTGAAGGTCGATGTGGACTCAGGTGATCGAGTCAAAGGTAAGAAGTTCCACTGGTCTCCGAATATCACGTTGCCAAAGTTGAAAGTGCATGGACCAGATGTGTCTGGAAAACTTCATGCAGATGCACCTGATGTGAATGTGAATGTGACTGGTCCATCTGTGAAGGTGCCATCTGTGAAAGCCAGTGGTCATTTGCCTACTGTCGATGTGTCTGTTCCCGATGCATCGTTGGGAGGTGATCTATCCGGTAAGCTCGATTTGGAGGGTGTCGGTGTGGGAGTTGTGGACGCCGATTTGAATCTGCCAGACCTACAGATCTCAGGAAATGTGAGTGCACCGTCTATCGAAGGAGACCTTTCCATGCCCGATGTGTCCGCCAATCTGGACACAGACGTGAAACTGCCCAGTGTGCAACTGACTGGTCCAGATCTTCGTGTACATGGTGAGATGCCGGATGTGGATGTGGGTGCTAAGGTGGATGTGCCGAAACCACATATTTCAATCAAGGCACCGAAATTCGGGTTCGGTCTGGGCAAGAAGAAGACGAAAGTGAAGACTCCAAAGGCTGATGTGAAAGTGGAGGGTGGAGCAGGTGGGGAGATAGATTTGGATGCCGGTTTGGACGCTCACTTAGATGGTAAAACAAGAAAGGGAGGTAAGAAGTTCCATTGGTCTCCTAAGTTCGGGTTGCCGAAGGGTGGTCTGAAGATTGGTGGAGGTGCTGGTGTTGGAGTGCCGGACACCTCGGTGTCTGTCTCAGGTCCGACTGGTGGTGTGGATGTGTCTCTTCCGAAACCCGAACTCGATGTCTCCATGGAGGTTCCCGATGTTGATGTGTCCGCCTCTGGGCCCGAAATCGGTGTATCAGGTGGTGCGATTAGAGGTGGGGAGTTGGGACTGACTGGGAAGGTTTCTTCACCCGATGTAGATGTCAGTGTTCCATCAAAGAAGAAGTTCACCTTCGGTTGGGGCTCGAAAGGCAAGAAGGCGAAGAAGGTGAAGTTGCCCACAGTGTCGGGAGACGTGGATGCTGGTTTGGATGTGGGTGGAAAGGTTGATGTTCCCAGTGTGAAGGTCGATGTGGACTCAGGTGATCGAGTCAAAGGTAAGAAGTTCCACTGGTCTCCGAATATCACGTTGCCAAAGTTGAAAGTGCATGGACCAGATGTGTCTGGAAAACTTCATGCAGATGCACCTGATGTGAATGTGAATGTGACTGGTACATCTGAATTAAATAATTGTGTTTGTTCTACTATGATTTCATCTTTTCCTTCTTCTGTCGATTATTCACCGTCTTATATTTTATCGGATTCTTGCTTATCTTCCGAGTTTTTACAGTCTTACGCGCCTGCTTCTGTTGTGGTTATGTCTGATGATGGGAATTTTTCTACTACGGGGACTTTCAATCCTCCTGTTGTTTCTTCTCCTTCTCCTACTGAGCCTTTGGAACCTGTTGATTTGCTTCCTGTCGTTGAGGAGCCTCTTATCTCACCGTTTTCCTCACCTGAGTTTTGTAACTCTAGCACACTTCCCTCTCGAATTTTGCCTAGAAATGCCTTCCAAGATATAGATGAGAGCTTTTCGTCTCCTGTTGATTCTGGTTTTAATGGTGATATTTCTAATGATGAGGTTGAAATTGATGAAATTTTTATTGTTCCCATTCAAACCAATCGTGTCCTGCCGAAAGAGCAATATTTCACAGAATCACAGGACATATTAGCTGCTGAAGCTGAAGAAAAATCTTATCATCCTGCTGAGAATTTGGATGCATCACATGGGATGAAGTCTGATAAGACTAAATTACACAGTCCATTTCATATTTTTAAATCAAAAAAACATGAAAAAGACTCTGTTCATCGAGTAAAAGTCATCGATGCCAACGACCAAATCTCAAGAAACACTGAAAAACCTAATGTTGATAATACTCATCATAGCATCCCCGATGGTACAGGACATAATAAAGTTGACAGTAAGTCTAAGAAAAAGGTGAAATCTCATCATAAGAAACCACGTATATTCGGTGGTCAAATATCAACTAATGAAATTATTTCAGATACTCCTATGAAGCTGGATCATCATGAAGACTACCACGACGTTATAGGATTATCTTTTTCTGATCATAATACTGATCTTACTTTGACTCCTCGGCGTTCTCCCAGTAAACTTAGAGATCCGTCTATTCGGAAAACATGGCATGGTGCAAGAGAACCCTATTCTGACTTTGTAGGAACTCTCGGTTCAGATCAAGATAAATACACATTAACCGAAGATGTTTCGGTTAGTTATCTAGAACCAGAGTCAAACACGAAATCCTCAAACAACAATTCATTAAACGCTTCTGACTTTCTTCGACGTAGTATAGGAAATTCAACAAAACGCCGCCCTTGGAGCACTTTAGAATATCCACCACCCGGGTGTCATTTTGTGGATGATGATTACATGTTTCCAGATGCTTTAACACCGACTAAAATTCCAAGTTTCCGAGCAAGCAAGGAAATAGTTTACGATGTTCCATATATAGACGATAAAGCCATTCCACGTTATGAACCTGAATGGCCCATAGGTGAATCAAGAAGAACATTAATATCTCAACTCTCGCAGAATAGTGGCAGTATTTTTGGAATGACAGCTGAGGAAGAAAGCAGTCTTATATCTCTTGGTAAGTTAAAATTTAAATTATGTTGTTTTTTTCTAATTTTAATGTTTTGATAAAGATTGTCATATCATGATAATTAAATTATTTTGACTAGCTTACATAAGGTTACGTTCTACTTCTTGAACTATATAGGGATTAACATTCTTAGGATCCGAGAAAAGTCAGTTTTAATAAATGGATAAATTAAAGAGTGTTCAAGTACATTATTGCTTAGAAACAGTAGCAAAACTCTCTTATAAAGATCTTTTCTCAGCTGTGGTCTCTTTACAGCTTCAAGTCTTATATCAAATTAAGAGGAAATGAAGAAAATAAGATTAGCTATTATTATTATTATTATCTTTATTATTAATGGCCACATTTCTAACTAAAGCACTATGTTGTCAGACCAAAGATTTATTACACCATTAAATTTCAAGAGTTGACATGTACCTATACTTTACTGACTAATGTCTACAAGTTAGAAACATAAGCCCATTGTTGCTTAACAATAGAAGAATTTTATTTGGAATTTTGATGAAAGCACGAAATCGATCAACCTCTGTGAACATAATGGACAATACTTTGAAATCTGAAATGATCTGTACTAACTCCTAGTTTCAGTGTGATCGTCAAAACTTAAATGAAATCGGATAAACTTAACGAGTGCTATGTTGGACAAAAATCTTATCGTGTATTTTAGTACTAACCACTATCTAAATTATAGTTTCAGCTGTCTCTGTCAATTCAACTAATCTACTAAGTTCAATCTTAGACTACTGAATTCATATTGTTATTATACCTCGTAAATGCACAGTAAGATTATTCGGTGATTCAATCTTTTGACAAAATATGAGAAAGGAAACTGTGGGTACATTTTAAGCTTTAATTTAGTTGGTAATGGTTTGCATGATCTCGTTTTTGATACTTTTGGGTGAAATTTTTATCAACTGTAGTTGGGGTGTGTAAATGATATGTGGTTTACTTCTATACAACCATTATTTGATAAGTTCTTATAGAATGGATAGAATATGGCTAATATTGGAATCCAGGATGTACATTTTGTGCTATTTGAATTTCACTAGTTCAATTCACTTGTACCTCAGTGTTAATATTCACTCCGGAATTCAAACCCAGTACCTTTTGCTTTGAATGTCCAACGCGTTATCTAGTTAGGTACTGAGTCCAGATTGTCACTAGCCTGTGCAACTAAGACTGATCACAAATATCAACTACATAATAATTCAAATTATCACAAATCGAATTTAAATTCATACCAGTTTCATAAACCAGTGATTATCCGGACTCAGTACCTAATTGGATAATGCTTTGAACATTCAAAGTAAAAGGTATTGGTTTTGAATCCCGGAGTGAGCTTTAACACTGGGATACAAATAAATTCAACTGGTGAAACCCAAATAGCACAAAACGCACATCCTAGATTCCACTGTTAGCCATATCTCATTTGTTCTATATGGAGCTTTCTTGAATGACAGGATCTAGTGTGATTATTCAATTATTCATTCTCTTGTAGTGGATTAACCATATTAGGAAACTAGAAAAACTGATTCCATGTTTTCTTTTTATGGCACATTGTCTTAAATATGATTAAATTTCAGAGGCTTTTCATCTTAAATTTCTCGTTTATTCAATTAACGTGTGATTGGTACAGATTAAAGGTAACTGTGTGTTCTTTTTTAGTTCACATAAGAATTTGTGTATTTTTCTACATAATTTAGTATAACTTATATAATTAAGCTTAGAAGGAATGCATAATATCAGGACACCATAAATCATAAATACTAAGAGAGTGTTGAAGGCAGTTAGCAAGGTGTGTGGTGAATCTTTTGAGGTCATTAATAATACAGTTGTGGATAGACTCTTAAGTTTTGCAAACTCTTGGCAGGTGTTATCTTATCAGATACTAACCATCCACTTCATTCATATCCTTCTCCTTGTATATATTCTGGTAGAACGAGACGTAAATACATTGAAATTCATGCACGCAAGCAAATCTATAAAAGTTCTGTAATACCTTTCCTAGCAAATATACTCTGTGACGAACAGGTTGTTAGAGTTAACCTGATCAATAACCTGTATTCTTAAACATATCTGAAATTTAATAATTTTGTTACAGACTCGGTTTCGTCATTTCATATAAGTGTTTGATGATAATAACTGTTTTTAATTTAAGATGGCTGGATAGAATCAATAAGATAGATAAATTGTAGATAGATCTTATGATTTTCTGTATTTATCAACTGTTCAGATCTAATAACTCAATGATAATGTCCTTGATTTCTGCAATAAGTGATACGGGTTGTAACTCATATGAAAGTATCTTCATGACATATATCATTAAGTGCAAAATCTAGATCTGATACATCCTACCTATTACGTTAACTCAAAAGAATAAAAGCTACCGTTTAGTATTACAACATTTTACTTAATGACTTTGTCTAACAAAAGAGTTAACTGTTCGATATTGCATAACACTCTATGATATATTCATGCAGTGTTTATCACTGTTTAAGTTACAAGATTAGTTCTTTCAAAAGCATGCTCACTAGTGAGGATTTTGAACATAAGTAATGATAATTTTAATTTGGAGAGCATTAGCCAAATCTTGGCTATAACAATGTACAAATTAGAATAAAGATAAATATTGCAAGGCTTCAATGAATAAACCACTAACTATCTATGACCTTATAGATTATTTTCAATAGGATTTAGTAATTAGGTGATAGAATACTGCGAAAAACAGGAATACATTCTTTAGAACAAGAAATAACCAGCAGAATAAGGTGAATACATATGTTCCCATAAAAAATCAATAAGAAAAGATCCTTTCCTTCTCCTGTTCGGTAATGAAGCCAATACAAATCATATGGTAAGAAATCCTCATATGAATCAGTGAATTTTCAATGACTAATATTACAGATAATATAATATAATCTTCAGAAATTTGAATATAATTACTGAAAAGCTATTCACAATTATATAATCTTTATCAACCACATCACAATAGCATTGAAAGAATGTCAATCTACATACATTTGTAATTTAAAATTATTTAGCAATATCAGAAGGGCTTTTGTGGAGATTTCAGTGATTTTATAGTCGAAATCCTGAGTCAATTGAAGTTATACCACCATGAAACACCTGGAAACACTGGACGGCCATTTCGTCCTATTATGGGACTCCTCAACAGTACGCACCCACTATCCTGCCTCGCGAGATTCGAACCAAGGACCTACCAGTCTTGCGCCAGAGCACTTAACCGATACGAAGGGTACACACATATACGCTCACACAAAAATATAGTCAAGGTTAATAAGCGAATAATTAACAAGATCAAAATATGACTCATAATGGATAGGCGAATTAGTTTGGCCAGAAGCTAGAATAAAGTATATGGGCTTAACATAACAACCGATACTACACATTCACCAATTATCTTCAGTCAGTTGATATTTCTACAACAGACTTGGTTGAACTCCACTGGTCACTGCTTACCACTAGAATTCAAGGAAACATCCCTTGAAGTCAGTCACTAGTGAGCATATGATTATAGATCAGAAGGGTCCTGGGTTCGAATTTCGCGAGTGCGGGACCGTGGATGCGTGCTGCTGAGGAGTCCCATAATAGGACGAAACGGCCGTCCAGTGCTTCCACGTTTTACATGGTGGTCTAACTTCAATTGACTAATGATTTCAACTATGAAGATATATAAATAGTTTTATTTTTTTCATTTTTATCACATTCGATTATGTAATATGTATATATTTTTATTTATTTAGATACTAAACTCTCTGATCATAAGAATATATCCAAAAGAATAAGTCGATTTACATCACATCTTTTGAAAGGTAACAAATCTTCATTGGAACAAGATGATGATGATGTTTCAAAACCTCGATCGAAAAGTTTAACTCGATTAAAAACATGGTGGTCTAAACGCAGTTTACCGCATAAATGAAACTTGACTTTTCATGACAGTAATAATGTTATTAATTAATTTATTTCCAATCCACTTTTGTTCTAAAAGAAAAAACAACCAGAAACTGTACTTATCGAAATTTACACACAAAAAGATTTTCCCAATTTTTAAATTTGTCTCCTCAACGATTCCCCTACAGTTAATTTGCTGCATTATTGTATCAGCATAACCATCTATTCAGGTAAGCAATTATTAATTTTCAATAGTGTTATCTCTTATATTTGACTCTGTTGGGTGTGAACTCGATTTTCCGTGTTTCATTTTCGAGCTTTGCTCCCAAATTATTCAGTTTATGCAACTTGGGTAGTTTCACTAAGCCTTGCACGTAAATTAGTGTCACTTATAGTTGAGTAAAATAATGTTTATTTAGTTTCTATGTTGTGTTAATTATGAATTATTGTTATGACTTGTGGCCTTGTGCCTTATACATATATAACGTAATGATATTGCCAATTAGAGAACAGTGACTTATAGACAGGACCAATGACGCATAAACCCTTTCGAGCACTCTACAGTCTTTATCAGTCCTTCATCCTGCTTAGCCCTACCTGTTAAGTACAAAACACCAACCTCAGCCTCTACCATATAAATCATGTATTTCAAATATATTGCGTTTATATACACACCCAATAGACCATATCGCACCACAAAATAGAAAATAACATTTCTACAAGATCTAGCTCAAAGTGACTGTGGATGTGGGAGACTGTAATTGACAAACTGGGCATAACTCAAAAACCATAAATCGTATAATAATAGTCCATGAGTCGAAATAAAGCTTATAACAAGAGGAACATAAATATGCATATATTCACTTAGTATTGTTTGTTTGAATTTTCCAATCGATGTTTTAGGACTGCAACTGGTCAGTCTCTAATTGGCATATGTGCCTACTGTGAGTATTACCTCGATATAGACTAAATTCACAAGCATGGTAGACAAAGATGGATGGTGACTAGCAGTGGAATCCAGGACGTGCGTTTCGTCCTATTTGGGACTCGTCAGCTGGATGTACCTACATAGTTTAGTTGTTTAACACTTATACAGTAAAAATATATGTATCGTATTTGTCCATAAATAGTTCTCAAAAGTTACCATTCATCATTCTTGTCCGGACATAACAACTATAACTTCATGAGGCTTAAAAAATGTTTTCCTATTCTTATGTGAAGTCAACAGTCATACACCACTTTGAGAAAAACTTCATTGATCAATTAGTCTATTTAATTTTACAATATTAAATCATTTTAAAAAAATTATTGTTTACTTCAAACAAAAAAATTTTTTGGATGGATAGAAATAGATAGTTGTTTTTCTGCCAAAATTCTTTCTTATTCATGAGTTCATTTGATTGGTTGATTAAGATATAATCGATTTATTTTTAAACATTTAAATTTTTTTGATTTTTTTTTAAATAACCTAGTCAATCTATTCATTAGATAAAAATGTAATTAGTTACGAGGAAAATTCCAACAGGTATGCTGAGAGATATATCATCGATGATAATTGATAACGGTAGTGCCCGTATCACAGAATGACGGATACTAGAAATACAAAAATCATTTGGTATTGACTGAATGAATGAATAGCGTTATCCTTAAAGCAAGACTTGAAGTTCCTGAATCGATAGTGATGATGAATTACAGTCTAAGATTAGTTAGCTACTCAGAACTGGTCCTATAAGTTATTTATAAATGTTTAGATCTTCTGTTGGTAATATTAAGGATTAAATATTTGGTCATTGTGTTTTCGCATATACATATATATCCTGAATGGATTAACTTGAGATTACCATTAAGTAATTATCTATTTTTTGAATAAGTTTGATATTGGCTACTAGCCGAATCCAGGATCCGTGTTTCTTTCTATTTGAGACTTATTAACTGAACGTGTCTACATCCCATTATATATGTTTATTCAAAGGGCTCTAACCTATTAGTTTTCTGTTTTATGAACTCAGTAACTTTAAATAAATAAAGTAATCAATGTTTAAAGAGAAAATTACTTGATTCATGTCCAACAGTAACAGATTAACGTCCAAACAAGACGAAGGTGAGGGGAAGAAAAGAGAATATCCGGCGCTTTAACCGGGTTAGTGGACACGGAGTTGGAAAACCTTGATTCCAAACCAATGGTGCACATGGGCTGGCTCCAGTATCATGAGGGAACAAATGGCGTATAAACTTATTGTTGATCACCGGCTACCATGGAACTGCATCTCCTCACGATGCTCCAGTGCCTTGTGGATCAGACCTTTAGGTCGAAGGCTCTGGGTGTGGCCCCCTAGGAAAACCACCTGCTTCAGTTTGGGCACCTGGGCAGTATCACATCGCTCACACATACCAAATGAGATTTGTGTGGCGCATATGTATCTGGTGCTTCCTTGTTCCAATATTTATGTGTTGAAATAAATAAATTTAATGGTCTGTGATATAAACCATAAGAAGATTTAATTTCTGGTGAATTATTTCACTTCGAATATATATCCTGAATGGATTAACTTGAGATTACCATTAAGTAATTATCTATTTTTTGAATAAGTTTGATAATGGCTACTAGCCGAATCCAGGATCCGTGTTTCTTTCTATTTGAGACTTATTAACTGAACGTGTCTACATCCCATTATATATGTTTATTCAAAGGGCTCTAATCTATTAGTTTTCTGTTTTATGAACTCAGTAACTATAAATAAATAAAGTAATCAATGTTTAAAGAGAAAATTACTTGATTCATGTCCAACAGTAACAGATTAACGTCCAAACAGGACAAAATGAACTAATTGAATACTACTACTAACCAATATACATCTCTACTTCAACATTACTTTGTATTTAGTATAAAGCAACATACTATCTATCATTTATTACAAGCAGAATTGGTAATACATTTTACTTAAATGTAATTTTCTTTTCTTTTTTTTTAATTACAACAAAACTATCATTAATATTAATTTGGTTTATTTCAACTTTTCATTGATTAATTCGGTAATATTGAAGAAAAATTTTTTTATTTTATTTTACATAATTTATAAAGTACAAATAAGTAGTATAATTATACTTATCCCCTTTGTATATATATATATGTGTGTACAGGCATACGTTGAATGATAGGGAGGGATTTCAAAGTTAAATTAAACAATCACGAGTATGCATAATTAATAAATATCAATGTCTTTTATTGAGTAGATAGATCATGTGAAAATCGATTAATCACTTTTGTTTGATATTTTTTTTTTATATGTATGAATTATACGTGTCAAGTTATTAGCTAATCATTCATTAATGAAATATTATGCTTTAATCCTTGATATAACTTTATTTTAAAAACTATAAACATAAATTGTAAGCAAAGATGAATAGTGGATAGTAGTGAAATCCAGTTTGACACGTGTTTTGTCCTATTTGGGACTCGTTAACTGGATGTAACTACATCTCAGAATTAATGTTTACTCTGGGACTCGAAATTAAATACCTTTCGGTTCAAACGTCATCGCGTTATCCACTCACCTACTGAGTTCTGATAGCCACTTGCTTGTGCAATGGGATGAAGTTTTAGACTTACTTAGTATTACTTGTTTGAATCTTCCCATTGATGTTTAAGACTGCTAGCCATTATCCATCACTGCTTATAATGCTTGTGAATTAAGGTAATATCGAGGCAATACGCACAGTATGCACGTATGCCGATAAGAGACTGATTAGTTGCAGTCCTAAACATCAATAGAAAGATTCAAACAAGCAATACTAAGTGAATATAAACATAAATGCTATAGACAATTTGTTACTTAAGTTGTTGGGATCGGACAGTTGAAATAACTTGATAAAGTCGTGATAAAGTCTCTGATTGTGATATTCAGTGATCCAGATCCAAATCTTGTAGAGTGTATCAGTTCTCTTAAAATTACAGATATACATTACTGATAAATATCAATTAAAACAAAGTTTAGGTGGATGATCCCCCCACTCGTAAGAATATTACTAATCATCTAGTGACCACATTACAACTCGATCGTTCAAACTTTAGACAGAACAAAGAAGTATACAAGTGTGTGATTACTGTTCAGCGATTAAACAGTTTATAAACCAAGTTAAAACACCTATTCCTTATTCTGGTAGAACAATTTCGTTTGTGCATAGTAAAGAAATGATTAGAATATCAACAATTTATTTCTTCAAATATTGCATAATATGAACAAAAATAGAAACG